ACAGTTTTGGCATAGAATAAGCAACAGCTCCGACGCCTCCCCATCTTGCGCTAGATGTTTCCAAATTCGGGTGGCATTTCGTCTGCGCCTGCAGCCTTGCCAAGGAAGATCTTCTCCAAAGCAGACATGAACTCATCCATTGTAAATGGGTTTGTCCGGACAGGGAACTCGCTTCCCAAAGTGCTTGTGTAGGTCGGGCCAACATTGGGGTTCGAAACCTTCCACTGAGCGTGCTCGAAATCGTCGGCCAATGCGTCTCCGCGCAAATTGCAGTCAATTAGATCACCTTCAAGGTCTTTGATTTGGTCTGGCCTCTCGGCGGCCCCCCTTCAGGAGCTACCGGGCGCGCGCCCGAAGCTCAGTTCATGCCCCCGCCAATTTCGTTCATCCTTCTGGATGGCGCGGCCGATCATCCCGCCCATCTGCTTCTCTCCATCTACTTGTCCAACAACGCGCGCCGGGTCTCGCTCAGCGGGCGCGCCCAGCGTGCCGCGCGAAATCCACGGCAGGCGCGCGTTTGTTCTTTTGTTTTTCATGCCCCTCCCCCTCCCCCCCCAGCTATGCCAGGGGCGCTGTGCGTCGCACGCAGATCCAAATATTCAGGCAGTTCTTCTGCGCGCGCTGCTCTGCAGAAAGATCGCAAGTATTCTCTCGCAGGCCACGGTGAAATCGCACGCGTTGACCCCTGTTGCCAGAATTCGTGAACTGATCCCGCGCAGCATCAAGAGGTATGGAAGACCACGCGTGTAATAAGAAATGTCTTGATGCAGGTTTCACGCCCCGCCTCGGATGGATATTTATGATCTCCCCCAGCAGCGCCGCGTCTGCTACGCAGTGATCAATTCAGGCAAAACCAGCTGCGCGTGCTTGTTGCGTCACCCCGCTGTCAGGGCCGCAATGCGCCGCCAACTCACCCTTCCCATGGGCGAAGAATGCGTCGGCGACCGCGGCGCCTTTCGCCCGGCGCGTTTCCATGGGGAGACCGCTGTTGAGCTCTTTGCGCCGCCGTGGGCGCATGCATGCAAGCGCGAACCCCCTTGCGATGGCATCTCCTCCCTGCCGATGGCAGAACAGCTTTGCATTGAAGCCCCCCAGCGCCACGTTGCGCGCGCGGTGGCCTCCTTTCGGCCATCCCGCAATCGGGAGCTAGAAAAAGTCGCGCCGTTCGTCGGCGTCGCGCCCAGCGCGCGGAGCGCGCGCACTCAGGAGGTCGAGGGCGCCACCAGGCGCGCGCCAGCGGAGGGGGGCGAGCCCGTCCGAGACCAGCTTGAAACTGAATGCGCCTGCCACAGCAGCAGGGGCGACAATGGAACCAACCCCAAACTAGAAACGCCCGGCTGCCTCTGTCTGCGTCAGAGAAGATGATTAGATATGAAGATGATTATATATTCATGTCGATCATATACTTCTGATGCACGCACACCGCTCTTGCGCGAACAGCGCGGCAATGCCGCGTCGTCCCATATGAAGTGAAATCGATAAGCGCTGTGCGATCCCCGCCCAAACCTTCGACGTTCCACGTTCCAGAGCTAGCGTCCTTCAGTGGGCGGCTCCGTCGCTCGCATCGCCCCAGCTGTTTTCGCTCTGCTTGAATCCAGGAAAACCAGTGGCCCTAGCTTTGCCCGCTGCCGGTCCTGCGTCGCCCTCGGCGCCCGACAGTCAACGCGCGAGGTCGGGATCTTTGTCCGCGGGGGCGTCCGCTTCAAACGTCGCAGAAAGTGAACGTGTTTGCGATTCAGCATTGCGTGGTTCTCACACTTGAGACGCCCGCGCCACCGCGTGGATGAACGTGAACTACATCCCCGCCCGAATCCAAATCCGCACTGCCATAGGGTAGATAACAAAGATTGGCGCAATGGCCCGGACGGCGCCCATGAGGGTTCGCGGCGCCGGTCTCCAGGCCAGCTGGACTCCAGAAGCCCCCTGCGCGTCCTACATGATGTGCTTGCCCTTCGATTTGCCCTTCAGACTACCCTTCGTTCCTGCGCGGGCGCGGCGAATGAAAGCATCGCGCTCGTCCGCCGAAGCAACCGTCGTCTCATGATTGCGAAATTCGCCCCACCACTTCCAATCTTCCGCGCAGCCCCGGCCGACGGCGCCATCGCGACCGCGCGCGGCGAGCGCCGCGCTCCGCCATGGACTTCGCGCGGGGCGTGGTCAGACACCTTCGCGATACATTTGGTTTCCATGTTTTCCTTCAGGGTGGACGCAAAATTACGGGCCGCTCTTTCGACCGCCCCCCTGTTCTGCGATTCCCAAACTGCAGTTGGCCCCCTCTGAAGGCGCCTACTCCGGAAAAGTGTCATTGCAATATCCCGCTCCAACATGTCACCGAGCCCCACGAGCATAAATGTTGTCAACTTACCCCTTCAACTAGATATGTGTCAGACTAAGGCCCTTCATGGCATCGAACTGTTCCCTGACGAACGAAGTCGATGCAACCTCATTTTCAAACTCATTCAAGTCCCCGGCGACCGCCGTCACAGAACGCTTCCGATTGCAATGGTATTCGTATGAGGCCCTGGGAGTATCCCGAACGCGGCGCATGATTTCCCACGTCACCGAACTCCTGCTTGATCTTGTCGAGGCGTTCCTGCACAGCGTTTTCAAGACTGGCCATTCGGATCAGCATGTCCTCTATGTCATCCGAAGCCTTCTCCTGCATAGTGTCGACCTGTTTCTGCATGTCTTGCAATTGTGAGTTCAATGGGGCCACCCCATCTTCCAAATGATTGCGGGACACGCCGTGCTGCTTAATGGCGGCGATATCCTTTTTTAATGGGGTCCAACTCGCTCTTGTTCAGCTTGCCGATCGCATCAAGCATGCTCGGCTGGTGGGCGTCCTCCATATGCCGAAGGAAACGTTGTTGTGTTTCTGAGGCGCTTCCTGCGCCGCGCATGGTCGACTCGCCTCGAGGACTCTTCAGGCTGTCACCGTCCATGCCGTCCAAAGGGCTGCGTGTCGTAATATTCGCCACCTTCTTGTCTGGCGAACATACGCCGTGGACCTCTGCTGGCATTGCCGCCGGATCTCTACCACCACGCGGCTGCAGAACGTGCTTCACGGGCGTACTTGGCGCGGGGCGTGGCATAACTGATTCGTAGTGTGTGTGTGTGTGTGTACAGGGAGAAGAGCCAATGAGATGTGTGGTTGTTGGAAAAGCCTTGAGCTTGAGCATGTCGGAATCGAACCCGAATGTTTCGAAATCGTTCGACCTGGTTTTTGAAGAAGCCTGAAGCGAAACCGTCGTTTCGAAATGGCCACGTCGCTTCGCATTACTTGTTTTTGAATGGCGGTTCAGCCCGAAACTTGAGCAAACCAATGCTTGAACAACGCGTGTACTGGGGCCCTGCTGTCTAACGGGCCCCTTTTGACGTCTCCTCTCTGGTCGCGGGCGACACGCCATTGACAACGTTGTACTGAGGCCCCGCTGCCTGACGAGAGGCGCTGCATTTTGGCCGAACTTTCGTAGCGGCGACGTATTGCCTGAGGACTCCGAATGGACGGCCAGGGGGGCTTGAAGAGACAAAGAGCACTCGTTTTCCTTCTGCATGCCCTGGTTGTTGAAGCCTTTGTTTTCTTAGTCTTCAGAACGTCTACGACGGGCAACAACCCCCACAGGGCTGGGCTAAGGCGGCCCAACAAGGCCCCAAGAGGACACCCGATAAACAATCCTAGACGGCCCTGCGGAATCCGAAGGAGGTCCCAAAGGGCCCCAGGGATCGCCGAGACGACCCAAGAGCGCGCGAAGACGGCCCGAGAGAACCCCAAGATTGCCCGCTTCGGAGGGTGTGCTCCCTCAGTGGGTTCCCAGACTGCTTGGGACACGCGTCCGCACTTTCACTCAACATTTCACGACGCGTGCGCTTCCAACAGGCAGGGGGCGGCGGTGACTCGCAGCAATCGTCTTCGATGCATATGTTGTCCCTTTCCACAACCCTTCTCCTATCCGCCATCGGAAGAAAGCCAGTTGAGACATTGGCGGCCCTGCTTTTCGTCCTCGTGTTCCTCCCCTTTTCTCTTCCATCCTCATCCGTCCCTCTCCCTTCGTGAGGAGGTGCAAAAGTATCTAGACTAGCCCTTGCTCGACAGTCGTGCCACGCAGCAAACGATGCTGAACAACGCCCACATCAAGCCAAGCATGGTGCCCGCACTGATCCCAAGCAGCTTACTGACTGAATTGGGGCTTGCTGGTCGTACCGAAGAAAGCTTTCGACCTGGCTACGCATCATCGCCTTTTAGTCCAAACGACAAACCTCCTTTTGGTTCTGGATCGTGGCGAACGCCTCGCCGCTGTCAGCAAGAACCATTACCCAATTGGAGGTCCTCAACGTCGCGGCCAGCCGGGCCGCAATGACGGCCAAACACATGATCCTCACAGACGGGACTGTGAAGCAGGCGCCTGTCGAGCAAAGGACTCTAGCTCTCCATCCTGCCTCCCCTTACGCCCGCCTGTTTATCAGCTGATCTCAAACATCGAATGCCTAGTGTGTCCTCAGTTGAGCCTCTGCCGGCAAAAGAGGGTGGGGAGGGGGAAGAGGAGGATGGGGGAGGGGGAAATAGGAGCGAACTGTTGGAGGATTGCATCTTTCCGGCCGGCGCCTCGATCAACACGCTTCAGCCACTCTGAGGGTGCTGGAACGCGACGTTTTCCCATGGGGCATTCAAGCATCGCAAACAAAAATCGCGGCGGCGAACGTCCTCTTAAAAACGCGAGCCCCAAGGAACCTCAGACCACTCCCCGCGGCAACAGACGAATGCCAGAGACGGGGTCGAAAGCTCCAAGGGCACTCGTCGCGAAAATATCAAACTACGTAAGAGGTCTGCGGATATACGGGGGACGCGTTGGTCGCATCTGTCCTGGACATTGCCGCCTGACGCACTGCATCCCTCTTTCTGCTGGCCCCCGCCCTGGTTTCGGTGGGGTCCTGGCGCGCGCCAGACAAGAGCGCCGTCACCGTGCGCCCGTCGCCGGATAGGGAGGCCTCCAGGCTCGCTATCAGCGCTCGCCTTCGAGGGGGTGGGACTGCCCAGCGTACAGCTCAATCAAAGCATGTGGACCTGCCATAGCGAAGTTCATCCCGCAAGAAATCAACTCACGCGAAGAATTGAATCGCGTACCCGTATAATTCAAGAGTTGCGGAACTGCCGTTGTACCATTGCTCTCGCAAACCATGCTCCAATTGTCTACCGAGCCGAAAACCGAAGAACGCCAAAAACCAAAGGAGAGCCGAAAACCGAAGGAGCGCCGAAAACCGAGGGGGCGCCGAAAACCAAAAGAGAGCCGAAAACCAAAGGAGCGCCGAAAACCAAACAAGAGCCGAAAACCAAAAAGGACGCCGACAACCAAAGAGGCACCGAATACGAAAGAGGCGCCGAAAACCCAAGGGCGCCGAAAACCATAAGAGCACCGAAAACCACATGATCACCAAGAGGCGCCAACTACCAAAAGATCTCCGAAAACCGAGAGGGCGCCGACAACCACAAAGAACACCGAAAACCAAAGGGGCGTCGAAAACCAAAGATGCGTAGAAAACCAAAAAAGGCGCAGAAAAAGGGGCGCCGGAAGCGTAAAGAGTGCCAAAAACCAACAATGGGCCAAAAAACAAAGGGTCGTCGAAAACCAAAAGGGGGACGACAACCAAAGAGGTGCCGAACACCAAAGAGGCGCCGAAAACCAAAAGGGCGCAGAAAACAGAAGGATCGCCGAAAACTAAAGGGATGCCCAGCGAAAACCAAAGGGGCGCCGAAAACCAAAAGGGCGCCGAAAACCCAGAGGTTGCCGAAACCCAAGTGGGCGCCGAAAACCACGAGAGAGCGCCGAAAACAAAACATGCGCCAAAAACCAAAGAGTGCGCAGAAAACCAAAAAAGGCACTGAAAACCAAAGGATCGCCGAACACCAAAAGGGCAGCGAAAACCACGGGGGGGCGGAAAACCAAAGGGACGCCCGCCGAAAACCAAAGGAGCGCCGAAAAACCTAAACGGCGCTGAAAACCAAAGGGGCGCCGAGGGGCGCCGAAAACCAAAGGGGAACGGTAGCTTCGAAGCCCACTCCACTTCAGCCAGACCCCTCCAACTGGAAATGCCAGTGGAGAGAGGAACCTGGGCTTACCACGGGCCCCGAACAGGAGGGGAGGGGGGGTAGCTTCCAAGACCCCCCTTTAGCCAGGGACCCCCGAGCTACAAAATCCAAACAGAAGGGGGGAGGGAGAGGGGGAGATTCAGAAGCCCCCCCCCCTTTGGAAAGGGGAGCCATGTCTTAGCCAAGCCCTCGAAAAGGTACGGTGGTGAGGGGTAGCTTCCAAGCCCCCCCCCTTTAGCTACAACCCCTCCAGCAGAAAAATGCATGCAACATGCCCCCCCACTTTTCCAGAGGAAGGGGGGGTCAGCTTGAAGCTGGGCCCCCCTGTTCTTATTCCTGGCGCTGCGTGGCGCTCTTTCTCACTTAGCCTCGAAGGGTATGGCAATTACAGCCTCGAGATCTCGCTCTTGCCCTACTGTTCTATGAATTGCTTTAAGACCCGCGCCCTGTGATACCTTGATGGGGGCGATGCGTCATTCCGGCCTTGGTGCTCCATGGGTGGTGCCCCATGGTTGGCGCCCTATGGCGCCGTGGTGTTAGCAACTACTTCTAGTTTGTTTATTGGCGTTTTTATGGGCGATGCACTACGACTGGCGCCTCATAACGCATTACTGCTTATACGATGCCTCGGTTCTGCCCTGGTGCCCTAAGGGTGGCTCTCTACGGCTGGCGCCACATGAGATTTTCTTTGTTGCAACTTCTCGATATTGGCCTAGTGACCTATTGGTGGTGTGCTACGACTGGTGCCCTGCGATGCCCTTATGTGTTGCACCTTACGGTCCCTCAGGCAATGTGTACACTCAAGGGGTCCTACTTGGGCTGCGCTGGTTGGACATAATTGTTTCGGTATCTGGTGGCCGTCCTGGTGCCCGTTGGGCGGCACCCTGTGGATGGTCAAATATGTCAAATTCTGGTCAACGTCCTGGTGTACTATGGTTCCGTAGGGCTGGTGATGTGTGTTCCGTGCTGGTCCGAACTGTCCTTGCACCAAGGGCTCCTTACCTGGGCACTAGGTATTTGGACATTACTGTTACAATATCTGGTTATTGTCCTGGCGATCTATGGGTGGTGTCCTATGGCTGTTGCCCGATGAAGCCTTGAAAGTCATGATTGCTCGTCTTCCCTGCTGCACTGTGTGATAATGCACCACGTAGGCTGCACAATGTAAACTGCACAGCTCACATATAGCATCACCACGTGGGGCGCGCCTCAGACACTGCGCAACCAACGTGCAAGAACCGAAGGTTCGGAGTCCACGCTGGCAATATTCTGCTTCTGCGTGGAACATTATATGCGACGCCAGATGCCCGCGACGCGCACAGAATATGTGGGCGGCGAACGCGACGACGCGCTCCATCGCGACGCCACGTTTTCAGACGATGTGGATCTGGAACATCAGGAGTACACGTAACTGCTACGATCTGAAGCGCACTTACATCCCTCGCTTGGCGGTGCGTCATTGGCATCCCGACGCGAACAACAGTGTGCCAAATGCACGCGCACGACGAGACAACATGACTGCGACGAGTAAACTTACAACAGGCACGCAGACATGAGTATGGGGATGATGGCAGAACAAATTATCAACTCAAAGTCAGCCCCTGTCTATAATAGACATAACGACTGTAGTGACACAATTGTTGTGAAAATTGGAAACATGCCCTTAGAAATAGCAGCAGTATAACCGTATTACTAGCCAGAACGACTATAGCAACACCAGCAACAGATACATACAGTGGCAGTTGCAGCCGCACCATCAAGCGAAGAAGTAGCAATCGTCGTATTGTGAATTGCGGTGATATCGTTGGCCGTGCCGGGGGGCTCTGAAACTTCATCGGGACCATTTGGACAACTCGGGGTTCTTCAGGTCCCTTCGATATTATCAAGACTCCCTATGGGCAATTCGAGAATCCCCGCCGCCAGCACAGACAACAGGAGACATGAGCCGAGAACCAACATGAAGCCTCGTAAAACAAGACCCACACAAACGGGGCACAGGATCGCACACCGCCGACGCAACGACGATGCGTCAGCGATGAAGAGATGGAGATACTCGGGCTCCGATGCAGACCTCGACCTCAATGGTAGTATGTCGCATTGTTTGTCGTGTTCGGCCTTTTCTGGCATTCGACAAATAAACGAAAACGCTGGCTGACGGCAAACACAACAAACAATGGCCGTTTAAGGCGAACGAGTGGGACATCAACACGCCAAACGCAAACAGGTTGGGAACCGCATGCGAAGAGAACATGTCGACCAACACGGTGGCGTGGCTGCGAACCAAAAACAAAACTCAAATGAACAGGCAAGGCACAACACGTGAAACAAAACATGGAGCAACAGCACGTATCTGGACACCAAGACGGCAGCCCGGCAGCCCAGCCCGGTCGCCTTTGAGCCGGGGACAGCTTCTCGAGGCCGCACTGCGCACGCACGGCTGCTGAGATGGAGCCGTAGAAGTCGGGCACGGGTGCAGGCCGCGGCCCGGGCGCACGCCATCCTGCTCCGCCGACGGACAAATCCAGGGGCGCCCCGAACGGGGGGTCGCGAACCACGGGATGGCCTGATGCGTTCTCAGATCTCCAGACGTCGCGAGCAAATTCACGACGCATGAATGTGTTGTTGTTGTTGTTGTTGTTGTTGTTGTTGTTGTTGAACTCTCATTCTTGAAGAATAATTATTGTTGATCCCCCCCCACCGGTGCACATTGATTTTTTTCGATTGAAGTGCCACCCCCGGGGCTCGCACCTTGTTTTTTCTCAAGGAAAGTCTTCCTGCTCAAACTGTGCCCCTGCCCCCCGGGCTACAACAACAACGGCTCCCGCCTGAGACTTCCTCGATTTTTACTCAGGACCCCCGCTCCCGCCTGAGACTTCCGCGCAATTTACTCAGGAAAGGCGCTCCCGTCTGAGACTTCCTCGCAATGTAATCAAAACCCCTGCTCCCGCCTGAGACTTCCGTGCAATTTACATGGGAACGGCGCTCCCGCCTGAGACTTCTTCGGATTTTACTCAGGACCCCCGCTCCTGCCTGACATTTCCGCGCAATTGACTCAGGAACGGCGCTCCCGCCTGAGACTTCCTCGCAATTTAGTGAGGACCCCCGCTCCCGCGTGAGACTTCCGTGCAATTTGCTCAGGAACGGCGCTCCCGCTTGAGACTTCCTCGCAACTTAGTCAGGGCCCCCGCTTCCGCCTGAGATTTCCTCACAATGTACTCAGGACTGCGCTCTCGCGTGCGACGTCCTCACAAATTATTCTGGAATTGCGTTTCGGCGCTCAGGAACCACGCGCGCGCCAAGGACGCCTTCACAACGTGGTATCTTCCCTCTTCCTTCGTCCTTCCCCCTCCCCTTCCTCCCACTCTCCCTCGTTCTTCCCCTCCTCCTCTTGCAGGGCCCGCGCCAATTCCAATGGCGGGCAGAGAGATGTACGCCCCCGAAGGATTGTCCGCCCGTTCCGGTTTGCCCGTACGTCTAAGCCCGCCAGCCCCAGCAAAGAGAAATAATCCCCCCGAAAGGGGTGTGATCGAAGACGAAGAGGGCGGGTATCGAGGGTGTAGGGTATACGTGTTGAATGACTCGCGGGCAAGTGAGAGCGTACAGCCTTAAAATGGTTGTTGTTGTTGTTGTTGTTGTTGTTGTTGTGTTGTGTTGTGTTGTTGTTGTTGTTGTTGTTGTTGTTGTTGTTTTTGTTGTTGTTGTTTTGTTGTTGTTGGTTGGTTGGTTGTTGTTGTTGTTGTTGTTGTTGTTGGTGTTGTGTTTGTTGTTCCGCGGCTTGGGCATATGAGAGCCCCTCTCGGGCCCTAAAATAGGAACAAGTACGGAACGGTCCAAGAATCGAGGGGGGGAGGGGAGCTCGAGCGAGGACGGGGGGGTGTCGAGCTCAAGCGGGGGGGGGGGTCCAAGGAGGAAGCTCGAGCGGGGACGGAGGGGGGGGTCGAGCTCAAGCGGGGGGGGGGGGTCAGCGCGGGGGGGGGGTCCAAAATCGAGGGGGGGGGGGAGCTCGAGCGAGGAACGGGGGGGGGGGGGTTCGAACGGAGGGGGGGGTCGAGCTCAAGCGCGGGGAGGGGGTCAGCGCGGGGGGGGGGGTCCAAGAATCAAGGGGGGGGGGAGTCCGAGCGAGGACGGGGGGAAGGGGTCGAGCTCAAGCGGTGGGGGAATCCAAGGAGGAAGCTCGAGCGGGGACGGACGGGGGGATCGAGCTCAAGCGGGGGGGGGGGTCAGCGCGGGGGGGGGTCCAAGAATCGACGGGGGGGGGGGAGCTCGAGCGAGGACGGGAAGAGGGTCGAACTCAAGCGGGGGGGGGGGGTCCAAGGAGGAATCTCGAGTGGGGACGGAGGGGGGGTCGAGCTCAAGCGGGGGGGGGGCCCAAGAAACCGGAAAGGGTAGCGGGGGGAGGAGGGAGGTCGTCGTCATCATCGTCCGTCGTTGACCCGGTCGTCGGTCGTCGTCGTCGTCATCGTCCGTTCCCACACGCATCGGGAGCGCCCCGGATCGGCGGCACTGGCCGGAGGCCATTACAATAGGAACAGGTACGAACGATCCATAACGAAAAACCAGCCCAGGGATGGAGACGAGAAGTCTAGGGCCCAAGGCGCGAAAAGCTCATAACGTCGGAGGACCGGGCTGGGGGCATCAAGGCGGGTGATGTTCCAGCGCTCCAAAAGCTCTCCAAGTGGCGCGATGGACTTCAGCTTCAAAAGGAAACCAAGGTGAGCACGGGGTACGGGGTGCATGCTCGTGACACGCGGGCAGGGAGCAGGAAGGGAAAGACTGGTGTGGCAATTCCCCTTTCCCCCTGAAGAAAACCCTGGCCCCCGCTCAGGGAGTGGGGAGGGATAACGGTATTCCCCGACACAAAGGGGAACTTTGAAAGGTTTTAACGGTGTTCCGGGGCGCCAACATATAAAACAAACATATTATCAATAACGCCCTTGACGCCCCCCGGAAATTCCCCTTTCAGCATCCCCCCCCCATGGAAAACCCATCCTCAGGTAGGTCTTGGGCGGTCTCAGGGGTGGTGGTTGGTTTTCCCCCCGCGACCCCCTGTTAAGACATTTTTGGGGGTGGTTAAGGGGTGGTGGCGGTGGTGGGTTTTCACCCCAAGAACACCCTCCCCCAGGCAGGTTTTTGAGGGGTGAAAAGAGGGGGAGGCCCCAAAAACTTCCCCAACAAACCGCGTTGAGGAGGGGCTGCAGGGGGGACCCCCCCCGCCCCCCGAACCCGCCCATCAAAGGGGATGTGTTTCCTCTCCCTTCAAAAAACAATGTTTGACAGGGGTTTTGGGGGGGGGGTCGAAGCTGGTCGGGGGGCCAAACCAGGTGCTTCGCCTAAGGCGAAGCCTGCACCAACTCTGCAACACCGTAGTAGCGATAGCCCCAAGAGCAGGAGAGAGTCACGGGAGCGACGAGCCATGTCAAGCAAAGATGTTTTCGGTCTCGATGGCAAATAGTATGCCTCGCGGCGAGGCGCAATCAAATCTTGCGGCCGGCCGCTCGAACACAAACGGAGCGCGAGTCCGCCGCCAGCTATTCAGCAAAACGCTATAATACACCAGGGAGGCAGCAGCAGGCGGGCCCAACAAAGGCAGGTTGGCCCGCGCGCAAATTACCTTACAAGCAAGTTACCTCGCAGGCAAGCTACCCCGCAGATCACTACTCCCCAGGTGGTTCAGATGGTCTCGTCTGGCCACCCCTGTAGGAGGTGCGTCGTTTCAGGTCGCGCTTCAAGGATTGCACTCCTCCCATGACTTGCAGGGGCATGTCTCTGTCGGTGCCTCCTTCGGGGTGGCCGTCCGCAGTCATATCGCGAGTGCCGCGCCACTGCGCACAATGCGCGACACCTCGCTCGACCATATGTCGCGCCCAACTGATGTGCCCCAAAAGTGTACATTCAGTCGGCCCATTCAGGTCTTTGCTCGTCAAGGACTTGAAGACATATTCTGCATCAGCGGTCAAATTGACCACACTGCTCAGGCGACGGGTTTGCCGGCATGCGTTCGTGCGCGCCTCAACAGGTTTGCCCCGCGAATACCATGGCCTTTGACTTCGTCATCGGCATCTCCGTTCAAACGCTGGTTGCCGGAGGTCGCTGCGCAAGTCGACCTCGCCCGTTGGCGCCATCGCACGGTGGGCGATCCCCCGAGGGCAGGCCTGCAACTTCCCGGCGATCGCGCTCCGTCGTCGCACTTGCATGTTGGTAAGTTTTTGGGCACGCTGTAGATGTCCAACATAAGACAGCAAACGCGCTCGCGCGATAACGGCGCAAGCCAGATCGCCCCTGAAGCTGACAGACATGTCAGTGACCATCTTCGACGCCATGGACTCAACATCAGCGCCCGTGAATTCATGATGATGGATTAGACGGAGCTGTTTTATGTGTTCATATTGGTCCAGAGTAACACTGCCGTCGCTGTCCTTCGCATGCCCCACGGCGCAGTTGGCGCGCGCGTGTCCGCCGAGGCCGCATGCCGCAAAAGTATCCTCAACACGCCCGGCGCACTTGTCGATGGCGCCCTGTGCCGGCAACGTCTGTCGTCGACAGGTTTGGCGGCGAGAAGGCTGGAGCTCGTCTCGAACTCCTGGTCGCCCGGCGCGGGCGTGAGACCGAGGCCGCCCGTGGTCTTCCTGAGCTTCAGTTAGAAGGCTCTCGGTGCATCCTTGAAACAAGTGCCTGGTTCGAAGCACTGCAAACAGCGCCTCGACTCATCGGGGCGCTCGGCCCTGGGAGGGATCTGCGCGCAGATGCTAGGCCAGGTGGCAATGTAAAACACGCAGGTTGTTCCTTCTCACAGAATGCCTCAACAAGCTAGTGGCGCGTGAGTCCCGTCAGGAAAGCCATGTTGACGTCGTGAAAAGCAATGGTCCGCTGCCCCATGCGCGCTGCCAGGCAAGCGAGCAATCGCCGGCTCGACCGCCGCGCCGCCCGTGGGAACGCTTCCACGCCGAAGGCTCCGAGGCCCATGAAAACCCGGAGTTCCGGGCGAAATATGATGGCACGGCCCATCTCGCCCTGTCCGTTCTCGACGAACTTATATATATATATATATGTATATATACGGTCATGGTGTTTGACGCCTTGGATATATCTGGCATCCAGGCTGTATATTGGAGCACCTCTTGTCAAACCATGTCTTGAGTTCAGTATATAGAACCTTCGATACCTTGACTGGATTCGCCTGAGTATCTGCCTTCGCGAGAAGGTCGTCCTCCTTGACGACTGCGGCTCGTTTAGCTGCAGCGGTCACACGTGGTCGCATAGTGGTCGCGCGGTCGAAGTCCAGGACCCAGTGCTGTTGTTTGGACAAGACTATCTTGGTACTTCTGCCGTGAACCAGACTTCTGCGCATAGTCCGTGCCCGTCAGAAACCAAACAGCAACTGCTACCTTCGTCCGTGGAGCACAACGTGAAATTATCTGCCTCGGTTGTGCATATGTCCCGTGGGCTACCCCGCGCAGGCAGGCACCCCCGCTGTTCCTCAGCAACTGTGACCAGCGCGCT